CCGCTCTTCTCCACACTTTGTTCAGCATTAGCATATGTACGAAGAAATTCGGCAAAAGCCCCATCTTGCTTCAGCAGCTCCTGATAGGAGCCCGTCTCGGAGATTTCTCCATCAGTCATTACCAGAATTGTATCCATTTGAGGCAGATAGTTGATTGCATGGGTTACCAAAACCCTTGTCTAAATAGCGAAAGAAAAAAAAAAAGTTTTTCTAACATCTCAAGTTAGTAAATACAATGGTTTAACTACTGCTCTTGCTTCTTCAATTGTGTCTATAATACAGCAATAGCTATAGACAGGCACGCAGCATTTTTGAGAAAAAAATACTGTCCTTGTCTTGATTTTTCCATCAAAATTTTGATTTACAGAAACCAAAGCACATTTCTTTATAAAAACCTCAGTGTTTTATAAAAGTCTTCTAAAAATCTCAGAAGTATCCTTTCATTTTTCAGATGTTTGAAACTAAAGTCTGAATATGCAACTTGAAAAACTTGGAATCATTTTAACTCAAAGAAAAACAAATCATTCTCCAGAGACAAGTATCTTATGACATACTTTATTTTTCAGGATTCCTTTTGGTCCAATAACTTTTTCAAAAATATGCTTCCCAACGTGGGCATCAACAGCTGATAAAGGATCGTCAAATAAATAGACATCTGCATTACAATAAACTGCCCGAGCAAGACTGACTCGCTGTTTCTGTCCTCCAGACAAATTCACACCCTGGGGAAACAAGAAAATATGATCCTTTATTTACAGCTGAAAAAGATGTATCTTTCACAAAATGTAGCAAGACAAGTCATAGGTGGTTTATACAAACTAGAGAAATTTCAGCATTGTATGAAACAGATCTCCATCACAAATAATTTCGCTACCACAACAGCATAAGCAATCACAGTCAAAATCCTCTTAGAAGAAAGCATGTCTATTAAGTTCTTGCTGTCAGTGAGGGGCTAGTCAAAAAAAAAACCTGTTTGCTAGTCTGGTAAAACAATTAAGCCAGACTGACCTACGTAACTGTACATTCAGAGGCTACTTTTCTTCTCAGCTGTATGTCTGCAGTGCTACCTCTGGTTTAATAAACAAATTCTGTTCACACTCTACAATTTGCTTGGCTTGCTGACCAGTAAGGAAGATAAAACTATACCCTTCACTGAATCTGGGGCTGGCAGCTAGAACTAGCCAGCGGGCAGAGCACGTAACCCTGCCTTCTGGAGAGCATGGGCTTAGCAGAACACCAAGCAGGTTACATACACATACCCTGCTGGCCACCCACTCCTGCTTCCATAGCAAAGCGCTGCAACATCTATGCAAGTTTCTAAATCCTACACCACACGCACCTTTGCGACCAAGGGCCAGTTTTGGGGTGGTGGTTGTTTTTGTAGTTTATTTTGGGGGGTTGGGGAGGGCTGGGGGGGGCATTTGCTTCTTTTAAATGAAACCGAAGTGTTCAGAAGATTCTTCTCTTCCTGTCTCCATTTTTCTGCTCTATGACCATGGCAATGTAGAGACAATTAAAAACTGTCATTGCAAAGATGCTTTTGCATTTGTAATTGAGGACAGGTTTCCTCCCCTTGAGGCTTAAAGACAAGGAAAACCTACTGTTCAAATTTGCCTCTTATTCTAGAGGATCTCTACTCTGAATGTTTTAAATTCAATACAACTTTAAGATAAAGTAGAATAAAAGGCCGTATGACTTCAAGCAATAGCACTGTTATGATCAAGTGAGTATTTAAATACCTTTTCTCCTATTTCTGTTTTGTCACCCGTAGGAAGAATCTCTATATCAGGTAGCAGTGCACAAGCCTCAATCACACGCTTGTACCGACTCTCATTCATCTCCCTTCCAAAGATAATGTTATCTTCCAGAGTTGCGTTTTGGACCCAGGCTTGCTGAGGAACGTATGCTACTGAGCCCTGTAGAAAAATAAAAGTTCCTTATTCAGTACTTTAGACTGAAAGTCTGAACACAAAGTCAAAGCCCTGCTGTGCTTTGTGAGGCAGGCAGTGCTAAATCACCTCACAAATTGCCTATGGTCATGTAAACTACACAAAGTAGTTCTTAGGCTACTGCCTCCTCCAAAACGTTATTTTTACAATCCTCTTTACAAGTGAATGTAACAAAGTGTGTTGGTGGAAAATAAAGGACTGCAAATAAAATATGATTCCCAACGTAAACTTGAAGTAAACATTTGTTTAGAGAATACGTTTGCACAATTATTGAGTGTCAAAAGTCGTTAGTTCTTTCATATAGTTAGAAATTATGTTCTGCATACAACAATTTAATCTGGAATGCAAGTCTTTAACAAATGCATCCCTGCCAAGAGATTTCTGCAGAAAGCAGGGGAAGCAGTTATTATATAAAACCCACTTCAAAGGAAGAGATTGAGCTACTGCAAAGTATTTTGCTTTGAAGATTAGCCTGCCTTCTCTTTCTGCACAAATCACCAGTGACTCGGATCTCACCTACTTTATTTTTCCAGAACAATTTTAGAGGTGACCAAATGTGCATTCTTTTAAATGCAACATAATTTGTTTTGCTCTTAAAATAATTCTCTTTCCATACATTACAGCAGCAGCAAAATCCAAAACAAGGACTTTTTACTTAGTTATTTACTTACTTCCAAGGTCATTTTTCCTCTGCAAGTTCTATGCAACTCTGACATCTAAGAAAGTACAAAATACAGCAGCAGCTTTTCCCATGTTTGGGTATCTCTCTCCTTGCAATTTTCTGATGTCTAAGAAGGTACAAACCAATACCGCCCTTCCTCAGGCTGGCGTATGTATAATAGAGTCTCCCCACCTCATACCTGGCTGCCAACAAGACTCACCAGAACACTTATCTTTGAGACCTCCGTCATTCTGTCTATTTGGGTAAATCTGAAACCAACAAATTTAGAAGTTGTGTCGAGACTTAGGAGGCAATTACACAGAGTACAGGCTAAGGCATACATGTGGCTTGCCAGGAAACGAGGCTAAAAAACGCATTCATTTGAAAGGCTGTCTCTTCCCCTCTTCACATCACTTGGAAATCTAGAATCCCTCTGGCAATACCCACAAATAGCTGAACAATTCTGGAGACACATCACACCTTGACAACCACGTAGCCTTCCTTTTTGTCCATCTCCCCCAGTAATGCAGACAGCAATGAAGATTTTCCACAGCCAACTTGACCAACAACAGCTACCAAGGAGCCTTCAGGAACAGTGAAATTAATGCTGAAATAAAGTGCACATAATTCAGTCTTGCTCGCTGGCCCATCCCAGTAGTTACACAGCCCATATAAAACTAGATGCTATGTGAACACCCACTGCAAATGGTGACATAGCACAGAAGCTTTAACTGTTTGAAAATGCAAATCTCTCATGCAAAAAGCACCCAGCTCTTCTTATACTTAGGACATAGCATCTTAAAATGCAATTAGTCAAAAGGGAAAGGAAAAAAACCACACTGTGACACAACCTGTCCAGTATTTCTCTCAAATATTCTGTGAACACAAATGTAAATATCAATGGATGCCTCCCAAACAGCATCCCGGCCCAAGAAAGAGCAGCCAAAATTAAGGGGACAGGGCACTTGTAGCTGCATCACCCCAGTTACTTTGTTAGTCATACCACGTGCAAGATTCCTCACTTATTTTCTCCAGCATGGGAATCAAGGATGGCTACAGTTTATCAAAAATAAGATTTTAAAAGGAAAACCCTGAGGACATAGTGAAAACTTGAGGGACGGGGATAATTACAAGGGGCTATTCTAGCTGCATCCTCTAGATGGAGCTCATCCCATCTGCAGGACATAGCAAGAGCTTGACATCTCTGAGGCTTTCTCTCCCCCCGCTACACTCCCCTTTATGCATTCCATACACACAACATACTTTGTGAATTCCTCTAGTTCATTAAGTCCGTGGTTTAAAAAAAAAAAAGATACAGAACAAATGTTATTTGTTATTTAAGGCAACAAACTCTTCTGCATATAGGTTTTATAATTCAAAGTCGTTTATGATGCAGCAAGTTTATGGAGCAGAATGAAGGGTACCAATTCTTACCTGTTCAGTGAAGGAGGATCATTTTTGGACCAGCTGAACGTTGCATTCTTTACAACAATGCTTCCTTCAGCTGACAAATAGAGAATTCATATTTATAAAAGTGCGAATGCAAGCAGCTAAATTGTATGCTCTGGATCTTGCCACAGAAGTCAATCTAAGCACACACAGGCAGAGATATACAGCTACTTTTCCAGCAGAACAAACCCCCCACTGCTTACCAAAAGTTTCTGTTCTGCTTTTACTGAATTATCAAGACAGCAGAGGTTCTGAGGTTACACTTACTCAGTACCCAGGAGGTTACTGTCAACTATACAAAGATCCTGACTTACTCAGTTGCATCCTCCTTTATCCAGAAACTCCACTACTGCACTGCAAACTCAGTTCAAGAAACTAGCAGCTTCAATCTGACTCGTGCTTCAGTGGAAGCATCAGCTAAACTGAGAATTCCGTGTGCAAAGCCAAGTTACTACAAGAACAATAGGGGAAAATAAATCTACTAACTAACACATAAAATAACTTGGACCAAAAATACTGTTCAGTGAAATGCCGCATGGTACCGGCATCTGTAGATTTTTACAGCCACAACTCAAAATATACCACTCCAGTTCAACCAAGTATGCAATAAATACTTAGCCTAGGTAAATATTTACATTAGTATGCAAGTACAACCCATTATGGACAAGAAAAAAAAAAAAAAACAAAAAAACCCCCACACTAAAGATGTGAGCAATGTATTCATGGTTATCAGCTGAGAAATAGGGGAAGATATTGCCAAAAGGAAGATTGAGAGAAAAAAAAAAAAATACTGCAGATGACTGCTTACCGGAAAGCCAAGTGACTAAAATGATACAGAGCTCAGCTAACCACGACAGGGAGTGATGGGGATTTCACTATCTTTGTAAAAAGGAAGTAAGAAAATTCATTTAGAAATGACTGACGTAGTTAAAGTCAATTTTTGTTTTGCAAGAAAAATCTGCCTTCATGCTTATCTATCTCCTAAACGGCTCTATATAAGCGGACCAGCAACACTGGATACAGTGTGAGTGAGCTCTTCGCACAAAACAGAAAGTACAGACATTTAGCAGAACTGGGACTTCTCCGTTCTCCTTCAAGGGTGCTGAAGTATTACATGATTGTTCTTCTCCAAAATGCTGGGGTTTGGCACAGCATTAATCATCGTTAACTGTCTACACATTTCAAATGGCTACACTTGCAACAGTCTAACAAGTACTTTTCAAAATGACCATCCGTGTCTGGATGCAGCCATTCTGTGGTTTGGACACAGGAGCTCAGGAGAGGAAAGAAACTACCGGAGATGGTAGTAGAAACTTTATGTTACATTTCCATTTTACAAACTCCCTTTCTCTACTTTCTGGCTAAAATTTATCAGTGAAATCCACCAAAATGCAGTAGATTTGTTACATAAAGCAAAAGAGATGCTGCAAAGCCACCCAAAACCTAGATGCACTGATTTTCAACAGGAAAAGAAACTCACCCTCTGTGATGGGACCCCTGATTATGCTGTCTGGATCTAACTCTTCATGAGACAGGAACACCCTAAGGCGCTTCAAGGAGACACTGGCCTGCATGGAAAAGGGATGCAAAACTATCTTATACTCTGCTCATTACATTTAAGAGCTTGTTGTTTTGCATCACATGTACATTACATCATTATTATGCACTCCTAAATCCCTCCTTAAACCCATTGCATAGTTTCTTGGATATCCATCAAACTCGGACTTCCTAAACCATTAGAAATACCGGTATTCCAGGAACACCCATCCACCATTAACTGGGACTGATAATTTTGCTTGCATAGCACTTAACACTCAGGAAATGCAAAGCTCCCTTTCTGGGGTGGCTGAATTTCACCAGTGGACATTCTCTAAGCACAGGAACGTAATCTTTCCACCCAGTGGCTACTTGTACACAGAAACACCTGTTAATGACTGAAGTCTTACTTCTACTATGCTGCTGATAACCATAGGAAGCATGTTCAATGGGAACCTGAGGATGTTGAACAATGCTAGGGAAACAAATGCCTTCTGAGCATCCAAGATGTTGTTCTTGTCTATTGTGACATACACAGCAAACGTCGACAAGGCAACCTGAAACAAAGTGTAATGGTTACAGTTAGGGTAGCATTTTTAAAAGCCATTAACTCAGGAGTCTGACAACTGGAATCAGAGTTCTACAAATGCAAGAGCAACGTGCTGGTAGCTTTCTTGTTCCTGGTAAGCTTTTTGCAAAGCAAACATTTGATTTAAATCCATTGTTGTAAAAAGAAGTTGATGGCTCCTCTCGGAAAGCTGTCAAGTGCTCACTTTTTTTCACATAGCAAGAGTGAAAGCACAAATGTCCCAGGCTTATTTGTGGTCACACTGCAGGAGAAGGGAAGGAGATAAATGATCACAAGTGTTTCTTGCCGCTCTTTCTCAGTTTTAAGACATTGCGCACACAGTACCAGACACTGGATCGGTAACATATATAGACAGAAAAGTTAGAAATACATCAATGTTATCCCACTGTATATTTTGTAGAGACTACCACAACCCTAGATTTCCAAGTACAGCCCACTTTATCATGGACAGATTGTTTTGCAAGAAACTTGAAATGTTACTGCATTACAAAGATGAAGCCTTACAGTACCTAAACAGTTCACAACAGAAAATCTTAAGATCCATACTCAGCAAGAAAAATGACAGTGAACCATTGTTCTCATAAATCATAAGGTATAAAAAAAATTAAAAATCCATATACTTGTCTACATTTTTTTAAATGTGTTGATTATGTTATAGCAAAATTAAAGTAAACCAAGTAAAACCAAATGTTCACTTTCAGATTGCTTCCCTTCAGTGTTTTCTTCCATGGTAACAACACTCATACCTCAGTATATCACAAGATCCAGCAACTCTTTCAATACTCTTTCCCACAGACTATCACTTAAAACAAGAAATCAAGGTAGGCTAACCTTTGGCATTCCCCCTCCCACAAGACTTGAAACAATTAGCTCAAATGCCCAAGGAACAGTCTCATCTAAGCACAGCATCTATTGAAGACATCAGTACTTCTGTTAAAAAAATCTGACTGCTGTACAGATGGGATCGTTCTTCATACAGCAGCTGACTCAGCTGTGCCTGGTACAGTGGCTTGTTTGTACAATCCTTAGTTTGGACAACCATACCCCAGGGAGAAAGCCCTCCCACAGAGATCAAAAACAAGACAGGGTCCAAAGAATAACCTCACAAGCAGCATGTCTGCACTCTTGTGTTACCAGCAATTAGTCTGAAATACGCCCTTATCAGCACACATAGCAGTAGGGGAGGTACTGCAAAATGAATAGTTTCCTGACACCATTATTAAACAATGTTTTAAAGAGCCCTGGCCATGGAAACAGAATAAAGAGTAGAAGAAACACAATTTTGCATGTCAAAAGTGCTTTCAAGTAAGCACTTGCAATAATTCTTTTATCAGAAGTACAGAAGAACAAAAATACGAGAAACAGGATGTTAAACAGCAGCCTTACACTTTGAGGCAGAATCGGTACAGCCCAGTGGCAAACGCCCTAAGGTGTAGGACCATTGCCACACATTTACAACATACGCTGAAACACAGCTACTCCTTAGGGGAATTTGTCTTAGACTCCACAGAACAGCATTAAGGAGTCCACCTGCAGAGTTTTATTTAGAAGCTTAATTTAATAATGTATTTATATTAAAACCAAATCTCAGACTTCTTTTAGAAAAGCATTCACTTAAGAATGCAGCTGATGTTTCCTACCCAGGGCACTGCTGCTTCTGCCTTTCATCATGCCCAAAACATAATGTAAACACTAAAAATGTTTGTGGGGAAGGAATATGAGACTGGAAAGTACACTTTAACACCTTCAACTGGAACAGCACATATTTTATCCTAATGTAGTCATGGCTTTTATTTGCTTCTGCAGAGAAGAGCAATGGCCCCTTGTTCTGATAGGGTCTGAAGCAATTTTGATGTGATCTCACCTTTCTCTCTCTTTTATTAGTTTAAATGTAAGCTAACCACAAACACAGTGGGGATGTTTCACATATCAAAAAAAAAAATTTTTAAATAGAAATTTAAAGCAATCCCAGGGTACGCAATGGCTTTACCTCTCCACATTGTTCCTTAAACAGATTCTGTTATAGAACCCAGGCCAGAGGTACACCTGGTGCACAATATCCCATTCGACCAACGACTCTTATCCAAGAACCTGCTGCTCTCAGAAAGATGCTGAAATAAGGAAATTTTTATTCTGTCAGCCACAGCTAGCACCCAGAGGGTACTTGTGCACATTAGTAAACTCTGACAGTACATTTAATCTTACGCTCCTCGAGTACACTACCAAAAATAGAGATGAACAGAGGAGGTTTTTAAGTAATTGGGCCGTTAACTTCTAGAATACGTCTAAACTTGTACATCACTAAGTTTCAAAGAAAACAGTAGTGCCTTTGCATAGAGAAGTAGAGACATAAATGTTCAATTTCCCACCACTGTGGAGAGCATTCTGACTTCCACTCAAAAAAACCCAAAACAAGTTCTCAAGTGTTCCTTAGAAAAACATGGTCCCAAAGTGGAGAGCAGACTTCTCGATTTGTTTCACTTACCAAAAAAGGAGCACAAACCCAAGTGAAGGTTGCCATTGCAGCAAGGTAAGCAGATTTTTTTAGGACTTTGAGTTCTTTCTGTCTGATCTCTAATACCTTCTCTCTGAAGGCTAATTCCCAAGCATAAAGTTTCAGAACTTTAATCCCATTGAGAATTTCATTCATCAGCTTAATTCTGTTGTCTTTGCTCTTCATTTGAGCTACCTAAAAACAACATTGCAAAAAAATAATTAGCAGAGCACAATACTTGGCAGACCCACAAAGTTCTGAGCTTTGTATTTTGCAATGGCAAAATTTACCTCATTATCATCAAAAGCTTACTAGCTTCCCAAGCAGGAAATCTGAGATGCTATCTGAACAAACAAATATGCAGAATTAAGATGTTTTAAACCAATTAAAAGAATGCTTCATACAAGTAAAAATCCAAACCAAGATCAAAACAACCGTGGCACTGGTTTAAGTGGGATTAACCCTGCATCAGGGAGCCCTGGTTCCTCCTACGTACAATAAGCCACTATAGTCAAGCTTCAGTGATGGGTAGTTTGCACCTAACCTGAGATCAAATTCGGTTTTGCTTCATTTTCATCACTATCAATGGCTTTCTGATGGTGCACTAAGGCAAAAAGCTTTCTGTTCAGCCATAACAAGAAAGTCCATTCTTCAGAAGTTTCCATCTTCATAAAATATTTTAATGAGGGCAATGCAAAGCTGAGTTCTGACTCGGCACTAGGCAGAGTTAGTAGACTACACCAGGACACCTATCCCAGACAGCTGTTACCAGTGGCAGTGTGGCTGTGACAGGCTATATATCCCTACTTCCCCCATGTAGGAAACAAATGCTGTGGTATATTTTGATGAACGTCTGAGCGCTGAAAGGTTTCATTTAAATGAAACCTTTATTTATTTAAATACATCAGTCTCCTCTGACATTTGGCAAATTCAGTTAGTAGCAAAGCCCGTACCAGAAAGCACATGGTGAGGCTGGTGGAAGTAGTTTTTGCAAGAGAAAACATGCAAGTTTGAGTCTACATTTACGTATGTGCACTCTCTGTAACAAACTGATCCCCTTTATTTAAAGTCAACTAGGGATCAAGAACAGCCAACAACTAAGACTTCTTCCTCCTCACCCTTCCAAAAAAAAAAAAGAAAAAAAAAAACCACCACACACAACCAACCTTCCCCCCCACCAAGAACAAACCACATACCCCCTCACCCCCAATCACTGGAACCACCATCCTGGAAATGTATTTCACTCATTAAGGTTCATTAGACAGACAGTAGTTTATGTTTGCACTTTAGTTCTTAGGCAAGTTAAAAACTAAACTAATTCCAATCCAATCATCAGGCATTTCATAAAGCTGGCTAACCTGCTACCTTGGTCTTAACTACTGCAAAATTTTTAGACCACTATGTACAGATACACTGTAAGGCTGAAAAATACATGAGTTTGTTTATTCTGCATACACAACACCTCTGACCTTTCTTTCCCTTTCCTTTTTTAAGGGATAAATAGAAGGGGGGAGAAAAATTTAGAAGGACAAACCTCAGGAACAAGTCAAAGAACAGAACACATTTCTTAAAAGCACTCTCTCACATACACAGAGGTTCTAACCTGATAGGTTTTTGTCTTCATTGCCATCACAGCATTTATCGGAACCAGAAGGATCATGACAGCCACACCTGCCAGCACTGAAGGACCTAAATTCTGAAAAGTACTTGATTATAAACATTACATAATATATATAAAAATTATTCAAATTCATTTTTTTAAATCTTGGGTCAAACCACTGTATGTGCTACAGAAAAGCATTCTGAAACAGGTTTTCAACATCATCTTCTCTTTTCAAGAACAGCTTGGGGGAAGAAGAGGAGGATCAAGTAGGGGCTTGGGTTGATATTTATGTGCTTTGATTTTTGAAACAAACATACATATATATAGCCCCCATACAGAGAGGTGTGTATATATACACACACATCTATCTATCTCTATACACACAGAGATCTTTTAATGTTTTCCAGTTTTTGCTGGTTTGTCTGTTCTTCTGAAGTAGACACCCACACAGGGAGTAACAGACTTCTTGGGGAATTTCATTACCTTTCTGATTGACAGCGAGAACCAGGAAGAGTCACACTGGTGACTGTCTGGACTAGAAATAGCAAACGCCTCATATGGTGACTCTTAGACTGCAGCACCAACAACACTCTTCTTTAAATCAAGTGACAAATGAGATACTATAGGTGCTGCTGTCCCCCAAAGAATAGTAGCTCCCATCTGTATCCTCCCCACAGGCTCTCAGATGTGCAAACTAAGCACCTCCTGCCTTCCTTCTTGACAGTGACAGAAGCAGCTCTGAATGGCTTCTAAACAAACAGCATTTTCTCCACACTGCTGTAAACCCTCCAGTGGTCTGAACAACAGCTGTCTATAGTCATGACCATAGGAAGCAGCACACTTCCAAAGTCAAAACAGGAAACAACACACAATACTCACCTGCCACAGTAAGTATAGTGCTAATATCACCTGGAGAGGTGCAGACCAAATCATGTTTATATAGGTAGCCAAGTCCATGAATCTCTGAGCATCCACAGACATTAGATTCACAATCTCACCCACAGTAGAAGTCTTCCTAGCAGAATTTGTGATAACAAGTGCCTAGGTGCAGATTAAAAATGAAAAACAATTAAGGCAACATGAAGGAAGACTAACTGATCTGTATTTTCTCCACAGAATTCAATTGCTTCACAGAGCTTCGTTTTTAAAACTACAAGCAATCCTCCCCCTGCTTCATATTCCGTTTACCCTGCACATCTTAAAAAATACAAATTGTATAGTTTGAAGCAAGGAGTTGGGTTTAAACTATTAGAGAATTAAAGACAACAAGCAGTCTTTGGGTTTAGGGTCAGTTGGTGCTTTTATTGCTTGGGGGGGTATTGCTCTTTTGTTGTTTTGTTTTTTAGTGTAAGAAGTGGAATCTTCACTTCTGGTCACACATTTTTCTCACACAGAGCAATCAGTCCGCAGCTTTAAAATGTTCCAGCTTATTCCAAGATGAGGTGGTAGTGCTGCTAAGTCCCAAATGAAGCTGTAAATGTAGACACATCTTAATTTCTGCACAAACTGAAGCAGTTTCAAACCCAGCAGTTTCAAAAGTCTAAACAAGACAAGGTTTCTTGTTTGGCAGTGGGAAGAAGGTGCCTGAACTTTAACTAGCAAATTAGAAAATTGCTCTATGTTAAAAGGCTGTTGTTTATAAATTAGATACTCTCTTATTTCTATTAAGAGTTAGGAATCAGCCTACCAGAGTCCCCTAACTACTTTAACTATTCAGACTCAAGCAATGTATTCACACAGCCGCTGAGAAGTTTTGTCATATATTTAAAGAAACACCTACCTTTCGATAAATTACACCAACAATAGCTGTTTTGAGCCTCATTCCAGTTACAAAGCAAATATGAAAATACTGGTGAAGAATCAGTGTCTGAAGACAGGCACAAACAAACAGCAGCCCTGTGTAAAAGTAGCCTTGCCAGTTTGGGGCAGCTTTGTTATTTACAAAGTTGATCAGCAATCTGTGGAGAGAGGAATTGGTTCTCTTAATATATGCAAATAAAAATGAAACATCAAGGTTACAACCTTAGATTATTCTAGACATTATGTGAGTCATGCAAGCACCCAAGGTACCAAACTTAACTTAGAAACTAGAGATCATTTTATACTAGCACACATTACTCCCTCCTACTAACAATGTACTACTACAAAACAAAGTATCACATACCTTGCATGTACAGCATTCTCTTGGAACTACACTAAAAAGTCTCGTATTCCCTCCAGCTAAAATACAACCGCTTACAGTTGTTTTACTTCTCACCTTAAAGCAATACAACTCCTCCTACCCCCTTAGCTCTCTGTTGCTTCACATACTGTGACTTGTAGTCCCACAATCACTACAGGTTAGAATTAAATAAACTCTCTTGCTATTGTTGAATTATGTTCCTGCCTGGCCTTCCTAGTGTTGGAAAGGAACATAAAAAGTCAAACGATTAATGCATGATGTTACAATTTGAAAACCAGTGGACCAAAATCATCTGTGTGCATGGTCTCTAATTTGCATGACAACTCTCCCCCACTAAACCAACTGAAGGCAAGCAGCTTGGCGAGGGAAATACCAGTGTGTTTTAAATTCTGTCCACATATTTTTAATACAATAATAAAGTATATAGGTCTTACTTCAGAATTTCTGGGCCTGCAAACATCAAGAGATCATGTGCAGCTTTGAACAGGAAGCTCATGAGAAAATAGGGTCCAAAGGTTTTATATAGCACCTTGAATAAAGATGCTTCAGAGCTCTTCTGAGATGGTTTTAGAATCAAAGCTTCAGCCTCTTCTGTCACATCACCATTTGAGTCGCTTGATTTTTGCTGCTTTTTGGGCGAATATAACATGTTTAATGGCTGCCTGAAATAAGAGTAGGTATATAATGTAGTCTTTATTCAAGCATAAAGCCAACTGGAAAAAATGCACAGTATACAAATGATATGTATAAGCTCTTTATTGCCCTTAGTAGTTTAACTGGATTTTACTGTCAAACATCTTTTTAATCATACAACCATAGCTAAATGAACTGGCCATTCAGAAATGGTCATTTTTGTAGGGATAGGTAACATTCCCATTGAATCTCTCCTATAAGTCTGCCCTGGGTAATGAGGAATAGGGCCATAACCTGTGTTAAACTTAAAGAGCAAAGGACATCATTATCCTAGAACCCAGTATGCTGAACCTTCATCAAAATCAAGGCCTCACTGTACCACCAGTGTTAAAAGACTGCAGTCAGATTTATGCCAAATCGTTCCCAACGGACTGAACACATTCATTTCATACATCTGGCTTATGCCAAACTACATACTTCCCAACTTCTGAGGACAAGTTCTATGTAAAAATACACTGCATAAGCAAGCAAGCAATTTTCCTTCAATGAAAAGGTAGTTCTACTTGCTGCAGTAACGGATGATGAAAGTAGGATGGAAACTGCAGGCATACAGTCTTTGTAATGAGTCACCTGGCTTAGGTGCCCAGGATCCCTATATAGTCAAAGGAAAGAAATAAGCTTCTCTCTTCTACACTCTGAACTGCCCATCTGAAGCTTCACTAACTATAGAGCAAGCCCAAGCTCCTAAATTTCGTGACTAAAGTTTGACTGTGTGAAAATATTTCCTCCACAGGGAAAAACCACACATCAAATGTAACAATAACCAGCTTTGGATCATGAAAGACTAAGGGCAACTTGATGCAGCTCTTCATAAAGACAACATGCAACAGCCTACTTGGTTCCTGCTTTGCATGCACTTAAGGACAGATACAGAGCTGCCAGCTAGGCCTTACAAAAGCAGTCTTGGTAACATATGACGAACACCTCTAAGTAGAGGCTGAGTAACTTGAGTTTTTGAACCTCCACATCTTGGAAGAACTGACAGCTGGGGTAACTGAACTTACCTCTTGGTCTTTGCCCACTCTTTTGCCCAGTTTCGAGCCAAACCTGGCACTATCTCCTCTGATTTGTCCTCTTTATTTAATGACCACAAATCCTTGGCTTCCAAAGGTCTCCGATAACCCTGAACCATCAACCTGTATTAGAAAGAATCAGCACTATATATTTAAGAACACTAGAGAGGGGGGTGTGTGTGTGTGTACACACACCCCCCTTCTGCCTTTACTGTGAGAATTAGACACCAAAACATCTAAGCATCCAGGATATGCCACTGAATTCAAATTTCAGGTAAAATAAAAGAAAGGGTGAAGTGATCTCATTTGAAAATCAGACAGGCAATTAATATTCCCATGCCTCTTTATTAGCCTTTAATTTTACAAAGCAATTCCTTTCATCTAGCTTTCTGTTGGAACTCTAAGTACCAACCACAACTATACACCAATATTATTTCACATGTTTCTGTGTTTTAACTCACAAGAACATGTGTTGTGATCAAATTATACAGCATAACTAAAGCTAAGTTAATGAAAAAAATAACCTGTTGGACAAAAAGAGCTAATAGTTTTGAATGTCTTAGCTTCTAAATACAGCAGACTATTTCTACTTTCTTACATTTCCCAAAGAAAATGCTTTTATTATCTTCTTTCAGCAAACATACTAAATATATACTGGCAAAATTTAAAATTACAAAGACCCCACAAAGGAAGTAAAAAAGATTAATAAAACGGGGGGGGAATCAAGTTAATCTACAAAACAAGCAACCAAAACAACCAAAGTTATTATTGCATGATTATTGCTAATTAACTCTGAAAGCAGGATTCTAAAATGCCATCTAACTCGAACTGGTGTTTATGCATCATCTTGATCTTACCCAGTGATCCACCAGAATGTGATTCTGGAGAGGAAAGAAGCACTGAACTCTGGACATGGATTCTAAAGGAGAGAAAAAGAAATCAATCCACACACGAAGTGACTGATACAGGGCCAAAAGAAATAAATCAAGTAGAACAGATGCTTTTGAAATTCCTTTTGTTTATAGTATTTTTTTTCACATTGCTAAACTTGTAATTTATGCTGTTGAGAGCTTGTTCAGAAAACACAGGCACAGCTTCAGGGCTGTCAGCAGACCAGCCCACTGGGACACAGTAATAGCAGTGCTCCATATCAGCAACGCATCAAATAGTTGAGGGAATTTTATAAGACAGTGCAGGCCAGACAATCTCTCAAAATGTCACGATCAGTGCCTACCTATATATAATGCAAGGTATGCTACTATATGAGAGCATAAATATGTTGATTGGGTAGAGTTAGTCATAAACTAATTCAGTTCTACTGTTCTAGCAGTTAAATGCTAGGGAAAAAACCCAAACATGCACAAATGGAAAAAAATTGGTAAACTACATAAAAGCATCCCAAAACAGCCCTTAAAAACCCTGCATCTTATTCATCAATAAGCTAAGGAAACTTAGTATCCATAAAGGTACACAGCTAGCCCCTGTGCTACATCCAGCACAACAGCTGCCTGTTTTACCTACTCTTCTGGTTAACATCCTCTCCTAATCTGGTTGGATTAAAACAGCAGCAAGGAAGGCTGGAAGAATTTCACGACTTCTACTTCAGCAAACAGAGGGAATACTTTCAACTTCAACAAAATTTCAAAATATTCTCAACTTTGCATAAAATGCTGTATATTAGTTTTTCCTTTATACTTTTACTTGCAGGTGGAAATGAGAGTCAACTAGATCTTGTGCTACCAAAACCTGGACTTAATTTGCACAAAGCATTAAAACATATTGGATTACTGTTAAAATAATACTATTTTTGATAAAATTAAATAGTTATGACACAAAGAACTATTAATTCTACTGACATTCATGCCAGATCGAATGAAGACAAGTTGCAACAAGTCTGGACTTGTGCAATGTAAGTAAAAACAAGAGACAACACACATTGCTTGACTTATATATACATCAGCATCTCAGAAATTTCATTGCAGTTTTTTGGCTTAAATAAACATACAGCAAGATTTTACTCAAGATTTACAAACATTTCTGGTTTGGAAATGCTTGGCAGAAGGGAATAAAGCAGAATTTAACACTGACTAACATGACTTGCTTTGTTCTCTTCCCCATCATAATATTCAACAAACACACCACTCATTAAAAAAAAAAGGTTAAAATTTGAAGTCTGCTCCGTTTCCTAGAGACACTCCTAGAAATACTCAGAACACAGAAACAAACCACTGTGGTCTGGAAGCACCTTGTAATTATTGTAACCACGATCAAAGCAGAAAAGAAGTTTTCCATAAATCTACAGTATCCTGTCAAATACACTTCACTCCTGAATGAGATGAAAAGAACCCAAAGACGAAGAGGATCCAAAAAACTCAGCAGTATGCTCTTCCCTCCAGGCATATACATGCAGACTGTCTGCCAGTGGTAATGCAGAGCACCCCTGGCACACTGGATACTGACGGAGAAGCTAACTTGTGGAATTCAGTAAGTGCAACTGGTTACAGACCTCTTCCACAGTAAGAAAGGCAGCATTTATTTCTCCCCTCATACATTTCACACCTTCCTTCATCAGTCAGTGCCACCTAACATCCATAAAACCAGAATTACGCCCTATGAAAAAAAATATAGAACTGAGGTTTCTAAACTTGGCACATCTAAACTCCAGGCAGTGACACGTGTCACTCCACCGTGACTCAGAAGGTCTAACCTGGGGCTAAGCAAGCAGTATAATGATCCAGCATCCCTTAGGTCATTTAGATCCATGCCACATAGCTAGCACATATAATGAAGAACACATGCAAAATTATCATGTCTACAAAAAATTAAGTTTCTACATCCAGACCACCCTCTAACGTTAACTGATCTTGCAGTTGAGCTGGTTAAATTTTTGCTTGGCACTAAGAGAGGCAAATATGCAAATCAAACACATCTATCCAGATTCACAAGTTTTCCAGGTGTAGATTCTTCCCCACCTTCAATAGCAACGGAATACACATCCTTATGAGTGTCATGGTTTAGCCCCAGCTGGCAACTAAGCCTCACGCAGCCGCTCACTCACTCCCCCACGGTGGGACAGGGGAGAGAACCGGAAGAGTAAAAGTGAGGAAACTCATGGTTTGAGATAAAGACAGTTTAATAGGTAAAGCAAAAGCCGCACACGCAAGCAAAGCAAGACAAAGAATTCATTCACTACTCCCCATGGGCAGGCAGGTGTTCAGCCATCTCCAGGGAAGCCGGGCTCCGTCACACGTAATGGTTTCTTGGGAAGACAGATGCCATAACTCCGAACGTCCCTCCACACCTTCCTTCTTCTTTGTCCCAGCTTTATATACTGAGCATGATGTTATATGGTAGGGAATATCTCTTTGGCCAGCCTGGGTCAGCTGTCCCAGCTGTGTCCCCTCCCAGCTTCCCGTGCACCCCCAGCCTGCTCGCTGCAGGCCAGCATGAGAAGCTGGACTATCCTCGACTACTTAGCAACAGCTCAAAACATGAGCACCTTATCAACATTTTCTCATCCCAAATCCAAAACATAGCCTCACGCTAGCTTCTATGAAGAAAATTAACTCTACTCTGGCTGAAACCAGGACAATGAGTTACTGCCTACTGAATGGTATCAGATGAGTAGGAGGATAGCAGTTCAAATCAGTATTTCCCACTGGTTGCCAGAAGCACTACTGAATACATATGACTTAACCTGCAGGAACGCTATTCAGGAATGACTGAAATGGTATTTTTGTTCTTTCTCCTAAATATAGCCCACCCTGCTTTGCATGTTATGGTCTTAATCTTCTGCGTCACCAACTAAAAAGCAGAAAGAACACCCTATGGCAAACAAGTCAACAAGATTTGAATCAGTTGGCAGCTGGAAGACTATGGCCCTATAACTCATTGTACAGAATATTGTACATAAGATACTCAGCATGCAGTATAGAGTGAACACTTACAGGATCGTTTACTGTTTCAGAAAACAAAGGTGGTCGTTCCGGAAAACAGCACAGGAGGAGCTGTACAAATAACAGGATGAAGTAGATACAGAAAGTGACATAACGAAATGCATCCACTTCAGCACCCTACAAAGGAAGGAATAGGAAGGTAATATTCCAATCAGAAGGCTTAAGGAATTTCTTTAAAGCAACACGTTACTATTAAATATAAAACAGCTCCTTACTGTAAATTCTGCAAATTACATAAACATTATACTACCTACCCCAATGCAAATTAAAGTCAATGTCTATTTTGGTAAAGGGAAGCTAAAGAGAAGGGGGAGGAGATAAAATATACCATTTATTTTTAATCAATCACAGCCATAAAAATACAAGCAGGAACTCCTTCTGTACAGAAGTTCACTTTAAGACACAGTTTGTACCAACACAACATGCCCCAATTTGAAGTCAAGATATTCTTTACAGGAGCAAGGCATTTATGCAGTGGGTAGTAGGGAGTTTTCAAAGCAAATTTGTTGATTAGCATGCACACAGAAAATAAGAATTAAAGGAGCAGAATTTAGATTACAGTTTGTTGCGTTGCGCTCAAATTCCAGAGGTTCTTCCATTTTTTACACTGGGACTGATACATAAAGCTTAATCCACAGAAATCAAAGCACATGGACAGATGGACACACACCCATCAGTAAAAATCCCACTTCCAACAGCTGAAATTCAAGAAATAAATGTGATATGCCATCGTCAGGCAGCTCCACAATTACTCTGGTATTTGAGGTGGCCTTACTATAAAGCAGACTGACATAAAAATATTTCACTTGTACACTTTCATTTTGCCTCAGCAGATGAGACCACATTACTATCAAACCAAGTGTTTCAGGAAATCCACTGTAAAATCAACAGGAAGGCAACGTAAACCCCCAGAACAGTTTCATATTGAAGATTATACACTTTTATTGTACTCAAGCAGACACATCCCCTTTCTGGAACAGCTAGCACAATTTTCTTACCAACTGTTGCTACAGTTAAGATCACTATGAATTTCACTATCATTTCAAAACAAAAGCCATTAAAGTCTTGCCTGTTCTGCTTTTATAAGCCAAGGAATGAAGGTACACTGGATGGATCATTAACTGACCTGACTGGCATCATTAACAACCAGCTACTCTATTACTGCAGCAATTGGGATTATTTTCAACTCAATGAGGCTAGCAACCACTTACCATATTTAAGGCATGTATTATTTTGGATCTAAAAACCACTGTGGCACATAACAATGAGATGAGCCAGAAAATCGTCATTACACCTGAAGACTGGACTCCTTTTATTCTTTCATATTGTATTAAAAATGTGGCAAGCAACTGTGAACAAATAAGATAAAAGTATAATTCACAAGCTTCAAGTTTTACAACGTTATACATATACACAAGGTACTATGTTAAAGTGTGCTTATTTAACATTTCAAATCCAGTATCTCCCAGAGATTTTAAGTGTAATTAAAAAATACTTTTAAATAGGAAAGTGGACAAAAAAGGCAAAAGGAATATGTATTACATAGAAAGTAAATGATCACATACACAAAAGTACTATCAAAAGCTGCCAGTCTTTATTTCTTTACATTTCTGGCTTGACATCACAAATCAACATGCAATTATTGTAACAGTATATCCTTTCCAAGTATTTCCTGACTAATTCTTTTTAAAATAAAAATATTTCTTTCCATACAAGCCACAACGCCAAACAACACTGACCAAATATTACTCTATTTCTGTATTTTGTGTGTTTTCAGAGTCCTTTAGGAAGCTGGTACAATTTAGTAATCTTACTTGCCTGCTACAATATGCATTTTCAGTCAGCCTGACAAAAGCTTGACAATTGCATTATTAAATGACCACAAGCTATTTAACAGCTTTTGCATCTGTCAGTATGTTTCAGGGCTGTTTGGTCTTTTTGGTTTGGTGTTTTTTTTTGTTGTTGTTATTACTGTTGGGGTGGTTGTGTCCCATCACATGCCATCCCCCCCTTGAGTATCATGTTTAATCACTACCATTCCAAGTCTGTGATCAATGTAAGGCAACTGACAATAAATGAATAGCAAGGTGTTTTCCTTGAAATGGTGGCTGCAGAGATGCTGGTGTGAAAGTAGATGATACTTGCACATCTAGGTAGAAGGAATTAGCCAGGGACACCTATGTGCCTCATGTGGCATTTAAGACTTTCCACCATGCCAAACGTAACAAAGAAAACATGCACTGAAGAATGTTACATGCAGTTGAGTTTGTACTAAGATAGTTAATAATGCAATGCCTTCAACAGCCTTTTACCAAGTTCAGTGTGATTTGCATTATCTAGGGTTAATCAGTCCTCTCAACTTGACTCCTCCACGCCATGCTCAAGTCAAGCTATACAATGAATGGTAGCTCAAGCCCACCAAAATAAAAGGCAAGACAACTAGCTTTGGCTTGTGTGCTGATATGCAATGCACTGAATATAGCTGGGTTGCGGACGTGTTCTAATTTTTTTATTAGAAGAAAGCAGACATTTCGCAGTATTTCACAGTTCAACTGCAGATTAAGTCTGTATGTAAAGACTGCATCTCAAAGAATTACAACACTGAATACTACTAAGATGCATGGTATTGCTTAAGGTTTTGCATGAACAAAGACCGTAACAGAAGGACTTACCATTGTTATACCCAATACTGTAGGCCTAACAAGAAAAAACGGGGCTCGAAAAATATTTTGACTTCTTTCCCAGAAAGAGTAGAAAAGGTCTGCCCAGCAGACTATCCACAGTATTAAGCCCAAAGCCTGCAATACAAAAGTGTATTTCATACACCAGTTCACACAGATTAGGCAGTGCAATATACATGAACACCAAATGTTATGTGTCAGTACAAGAGGAGTCATAATTTTCTTCACTATGAGGGTGGTGAGGCACTGGGACAGGTCGCCCAGAGAAGTTGTGGATGCCCCATCTTTGGAAGTGTTCAAGGCCAGGTTGGACAGGGCTTTGAGCAACCTAGTCTAGTGGAAGCTGTCCCTGCCTATGACAGCAGGGTTGGAACTAGATGATCTTTAAGGTCCCTTCCAACCCAAACCATTCTATGATCAGATCATCTCTTTTGGGCAATTCTACAACGTGCATAAAAGAACAGTAATTTGGCTTTACCTACTGGATCCCCACTAAAAGAAAAACATTTACTAATTTTTAGTACCATATAATTCAGTGTATTATGAAGCAGAAAGCTGGGGAATCTCACTCCTGAATAACAGATCGCAGAGACAAACACTCTCCAATACACCATGCTATTATAGTCATTCTTAACACTTTTCACTTATTCTACAGGGGGGGAAAGGTAAGAAAACATTAAGTATGGATTTCACAATAGAAGTGGAATAGAACACCTGCAGCAGCTCTAGAAATCTATGCTGTGTAACTTAAGAAGCTGACAGGATAATAATTTTTTTTTTAATTGAAATAAAGGCCTCAAGATTGAGTTGCCTTAAAATAGTCTTATCCAACTCATTTTACAAAGGATTTGCATGCTTTTTTTCCTACATCAGAGTAAATTTCAGAAAGCCTACTGATAAAAGGGCAACGGAAAAACATAAGGCTTGGAAATCAAACAGAAGTCAGTTGCAGCTGAAGTATGCTCACAGGCCAAGATTGATGCTGAACAAAAATAGTGTGCTAAAACATAGCTGAAAATAGATTCAAACTTCCAGATAAGCTTAGTAAGTTCTGATTTTAAAAAGTCACATACCGTTTTGGCTTTGTTGAGGTTTGACATTTGTATGTATCCCCTGTCATGACAACGAAGGTATAGGAAGTACACTGGGAAGCAGACCCACAGGTAAATGCAAGGAATCCAGACCGGGACTGTGTTCTGAAAACATTGTGTGAAGTCTGGATTTTCTGTGTGCCATGTCAAATTCCAATCCTGGGGAGGTAAAATGGATCAAGTTAAAGAAAAATCAAACACAGAACTTCAGTATTTAAAAAAAATTTAGCCACTGCCTTATTCTGTATGTCTTATTGTATATTTATTTCTACTTGTATTAAACTGGCTCCATTCTATAGTGTATCTCATTTTGTTGTACTTTTTGTAGCTCAGAGTTTTAAACTTTCACAAAATGACATTAGCATCACTTTTGTTGGTTATAGATAGCTACCATAGCACATAACTCACTCCAATGTAATACTGGAATCTCCAACAGTATTAATCAAGGATTTTCACATTATCATTGCAGAAAATAACACAACAGTGCTAACTATCTCCTATTATAACCATTGTGCATGTCTGTATCAATACTAAGGTACACTGCATTCCCAAATTTCAGTGTGGAAACGTTATCTGGCACACAGTAAAAGCGAACAGCACAAGACAACATCACTTCACTATTTGTAAGGTCGTCTCACAGCTCCCCAGCTGTCTGCAGCAAACCCCGTTGAGACTTTCTGGTAATTCATAACAACAGGGCATAGAACTAAGTAAAAGGCTTGCCCTTGCAGCCCGTTTCCCACTCAACAAGAGGAAGACGTAAAACAATATAATTCAACGTTTTCCTATTTCTCTCAACACAATTCTCAAAACCAAGATAAATCACCATACAATCAAACCAAAACTGACACAGTAATAAAAATGTGATCACCGTTGCCATTACTGGTAAAGGGACTATTTACAATGGCAGACTATTTAGTAAAATGAACTTTCATGCCATACTTATGATTGGTTTGAGTTAGGGAAATCTCTTGCAGGAAATTCTACCTTAAAATAACTGACTCTGCTGTAAAATTACCACAAGGGACATTTCCTCTCAAGTGCTGTAGGATTTCTGACTCTCCAACAGAATGACGCAATACAGAGAGATCACTGCTGCAGATGGACTGCAGTATTCAACAGCCAAAGCATAGTACACAGGCTTCTGTTTAAAAGCCACACAGCCAAGAGTAGCAGTCTCATGCCCAAATGCTTGTTAACTATAGCGTCATTTTCAGTTGCAAAGCATTTTTTCAGACAGTTGCACAGAATACTAGTAGCACTACTGGGACATAACAGCACTCAGTAATCCTTCTTCTCTAGAAAAGCCTGAGCTGGTCACAGAAATAAGTGCCATTATCCACATTTTATAGGTGAGGAAACAAAACCAAAAGGAGCTGTAGCGCCTGAACCCTCTGTTCCAACATCAAAGCTGGAAACAGATCCCACTGATCAAAATCGCCACACTTTAATCAGTGGAAGATGAGGACAAATAAGGATCAAACAGTTTCAAACACAATTACAGAGAAAGGAAAATAGATCTAAAGAGAAACGGAAGATATAACTTGAAAAATTTTCAACTTGAGGCTAACCAGACCTTTATTTTATCATAAGAGCAGGTTTCCCCTTAAATTTGACCATTCTATACTAAGATGTTTTGTTGTGGGTTTTTTTTGTTGTTGTTGTGGGTTGTTTTTTTTTTTTTTTACAATAACTTCTTTTGAAAATGTAGAAACAAAAATATTTTCCTTCCTCACTTCCCCCTCAATTTCTGTTACAATCTAGGACTTCTTGCTCTGTTAGATACAAGACAGTATGCACAGGACACACAGCTGTTATTTTTCTCCTCTAATTCAACAGCATTCTAAAAATTCTTCTCACTTCATATCGTTTTTATCAGTTAAAAAAAAACCTCCAAACTTAATACAGCCAATTCAAGGAAATTAACACTGGCAGAGCATAAAAATACCCAATGATGTTTTAGTGTATCTGCACAGGGGTCATGCAAGTTGTCCGTGACAAGGCAGCGACTGTGAGACGCTGTGAGCGAGCCACATGCTTATTAAGTTCCCTAACTGCATAACATCATCAGAAATTTCAGCTGAGTCATCCTTACATTTAGCCACCACACAAATGTTTTTGGCTTTCTAAGTCCCAGCTGCTCCACTCCAGCACAACAGCCAAGAAAAAGTCTCATGACTCTGCAGAACAGTTTACAATTCACAAATTAAGATAGTTAATAACTTTACACAAGTAAATTACAGGATGTAATCAGCTTTACACACAAACAAACAAGAGCACTGACATCATTTTACTGATTAAATTTTTCACGATCTACACACTGCTTAAGGAAGTTGCTGTAAAATGAATCAGGCGATTACCAGAAAGGACAGAGCGAGTAATGCACGTCACGGCCACATCTCTAAATAAAAGAAAGAAGTGCTGTATGCATGACTGCTATGCATATTAACTGGAGGATATTCTAAAAATATGTGCAATCTTTCATTTGACTTTCATATTTGCAAATTATCTGAAGGTGTGTCTACATTAAAGGCAAGAGAGTGCAATGTAACGGTACTTCAGGTTTAAGAACAGAAAGTTGGAACATATGGGCAGTTTGGGGCAAGATTACTGCTAGAATTTAACATCTACAGCAACATCAGCGTTTCTTCTTTCACATTTTTCCAGGATTTGATCCAGAGGCTGTTGATATCAATTAGGAATTTGCTTAGCTTAAATACCCTATTCTTGTCTGTAAGAGAGAAATGGCTACACACAGGTGAGGTGCAGAAGCCCCTTCCATTTTACATTCATGTCAGGTGACAAAAGGTGAGGAATGAATCCATGAAGAG